TGTTTGTGTGTGTGTAAAATAATTTAATACTGTTTTTCGGCAAGGATGCATTAAATTGATCAAAAGTGTAAGTAAATACATTTAAATATAATTTCTTTTTCAAGTAAATTCTGTTCTTTTGAACTTTTTATTCTTTAAATAATCCTGAACAATGAGTCATGGTTTCTACAAAATATTAAGCAGAACAACTGTTTTCTACAGATATTAATAAGGAATATTTTGTGAGCACGAAATCTCAGGATATCAGAAAGGATCATGTGACAGTGAAGACTGGAGTAATGTTTGAAAATTCAGTTTTCCTATCACAGGAATAAATGACATTTTAACATATATTAAAATAACATGTAGTTATTTTGAATTGTAGTAATATTTCACAATATTACTGTCTTTACTGTATTTTTTATCAAATAAATGGAGTGTTGATATATATATATATATATATATGTGTGTGTGTGTGTGTGTGTGTGTGTGTGTGCATATACATACATCCAACTCAACCTTTTTCCTTTATAGCCCCATAGGGCTGGCTTTTATCTGTGTTTAAGATTCAATTTGCATTCATATACTGTCAGTATGTGAATGAATTGAGTGTAATGCTGAACCCTGTGTCCCCCATTCTTTCTTTCACACATCCTGCTGGTAGGCATCCAAAACTCTATGTATTCCTGGTCAAAGTACAGCCAGTCTCAGATGAAATGACTGACCTGCACCTCTATGTGTCAGCACTTCTTTTTGTCTGCCAGGCCAATAGAATAGATTGTCTCTCTCCATTAATCAAGAGTTCATCTGTACAGTTTACAGATTCTACACATTTAATCCTGCCAACAGACCTGTGTGTGCATGTTAGTGTGTGTTTCACTATAGCCTACTTAAATGAATACATTGACATTTTTATACCGCATAATCATCTACTATCAGCAAATTATAACCCATAATGTGCTTGTTTGTAAAAAAAATAAAAAATACAGAAACAGAGGTTGATTCACAGGCTGCCATATTACTCCGTCAGCATCTAATTAAGCTGAGCTCACCTGATCGTTAATATTTGCGGGAGATCGCTTACAAAGCAATCAGCCGACCGCTTTGATGGACGAAGGCCTTACTGTGTATACACTTCTGCTGCTCGTATGGATAAATAAGAATCAAATTTGTCAGAGATTTGCCGTTCAGCTGCCGTTTTTTTTTTTTCTTTGTGTCATTGACTTACATACTGCTGAATATGTAACTTAATACACCAGTTATTTGCTGTGGATACTCATGGGTTGAAGGTTAATGTATTATTATTATTATTATGATTATTTCTATTAAATTACATTTCTATTGAAATTAAATTTTAATTTAAACTCTTCAGTTTCATTGTGGCTTAGAACTAAGACAATTGTGCTTTTCGATATGATTTTCTGTTTTTTTGTTGTTGTTTGTTTTTCTTTTTTTAGTCCTTGTGTTATGAAATTAATAGTTTCAACATTAGGGGAAATTATACTTCATATGGTGGCCATCGTGGTAACATCACTAGGAACCAATTTTTTTTTTTAGGTACTCAATAGGCATACATTTATAGTTCCTATCTGCTTGAATAAGGAAAATTTGAAATTGCCCTATCCGTTTTGATAACATATTTCAAATCATCAAGAGATCTGTGGTAACAAAATTTGATTCTTAAAGTCTAGTCATGCTTAAACCTTGCATTTTTCAGAATTTGTCCAGCTAATGTGCATTTTAGAGCAAACAAACTCAATCAAAAAGGTGATTGGCTCTTTTAACGGAAAGCCTGGTCTTATATTTACCACCACTGTTTTTTTTTTTCTAAATTACTGTATGTACAGTTTATCCCATTTATTTCTCTCCTCCTTATATAGTCTCTGATTAAATGCAGATGCAGCTCTAAATAATTTTTTCTTAATAATCATTAGTAGTAATTATCATTAATAAATTAATGACAAGCAGTAAATTATTAATGCAGTGTTTAATGATCAGGCAAAATTAATTAAACTCTGAGAACAAAATACTGTAAAGAACTTGATTGGTTAATGGCACATAAAGTATGAAGACATTTTCAAACATGCTACTTTTTGAGGAAACTGTGTATTATACTTAAATAGATGGCAACTTTGATGGACACAGGCCTTGCTTTGTCTGCTTCTGCTGCTCATATGAATAAGTAACCATTGCCTTCCCCGTTGTTTTCTTTCATTGTATCATTGAGTGTACTGCTGAATCTGTAACTTAATATACCAGTGGTTTGCTATGGATCCTCTCAGCTTGCAGGCCAATCTGAGGTAGTGTGCAGCCCAGCCAGACTTAAAAGTAGCTATCTGACAAGCAGGACGAGCAGCTTACAGACTCAAGATTGTAATCTCCTAGTACAAGCAGATGGAAGTGACCTCTCACAAAGGCAGCCACGTCCCCCCTCTCACAGAGCAAGAGCTTTGAAGTATTCTTCTGAGCAGAAAGAGCAAGATTATGATGTGCAGGGAGATTGATTTGAGAGAGCAAGATCACCGTCATTGGACTCTTCCAACAAAACTTTTGTTTTCCCTTTGCCTTGCAATGCGTGATTCGTGCGCATTTGTGGTCACTACCTCTGATGGAGATGATAGCTTACGTTGAGTGTGAAGTAGTACTTTTATGCTTTTTCTTGGCTTCTTTGATTATATCATTGGCTCCAGAGGGTTCGGCACAGTTTATTTTTGTATTATTGTGGAGTGTGTTATTCGTGAGGGAGGGTTTGTTCGCACCAGGCTAGCAGGGTCAGATCCACAGACGTCTCACTCTCTCTAGCTCTCTGTCTTTTGTGCCACAAGAGAAGTTTAAGCGATTTCTCCCAGTGGATTGCTGGAGAATTTATCGGCGGGTGGCTGGCTATCACAGATTAAGGGAAATGTCGATCAGTAATGACCCCTCTACATGTTAGTATTGCAGTAAAGCCAAGCTTTTATGTCAAAGAAAATCGGAGCGGGGGCTATTACACATGACAGGGGTGATCAAGGGACTGTGGACCGAGGCTAGCATTATTAAATATTGACTATTCCTGTGATTTATGTAGAGCTTCAGGGAAAAAGTGACTTTTTAACTGTTATATATTCTTTAGTCTCCAAACCCTTCCATTTATCTCTTCATGGAAATAAAGTGTATGTTGGCTGCATATTTCTTACTCCCAGCTGAAAAAGGGGGGAAAAACTCTTGCCCTTACAAATTGAGATGGTTGCTGTTGCGGCAGTTCATTTTATAAACCGCTAAAAGTGGAATAGGTAAATTGGAAGCAATTATAAGATTTAACTAAAAAAAAAAAAGGCTGAGCTAGTCGTACTGTAGATGACAGAGAATGATTATTTAAGGGCATAGAGCTCAGATAAATTCATTAAGCATGTTTATTTTTGCTTAAACAGGTCATTTTTACAAGTTCTGGGTGTGTTTTTCTTTTTCCACTTGCACTGCACAGTAATGTAAAACGTCAGCTAAACACTTAAGCAATGGAGGAGAGATGCATTTGTAGGCTTCCAGTCGTTGGGGCACTTCATGCCTATTGATTTCTTTATGACGTTGCATTTCAAGCCCTTTAGATGGGGAAAGGGTGGAGGTTATGGACTCGGCCTGCACACACGTCTCCCTTCTGTCTCTTCCCAAGATGGTAGAAGTCTATATGGTGAGAGGTGAGAACTTGGGGGAGTTAATTCCCTTTTAATTTGCAAGCAGGGCCGTATATCCTGCGGTCGATTGCATTACAGTAAGTGGTGGTGGCTGGGGACTTGGAGGCTTGGCTCTTGACCTCTTGGTTAATGTGCACACATGCATGGGTCTGACTGAAAGCATTACAGCCAATGAGTGGGAGTGTTGAGAGATGTGTTTGAATTTCTGTAATGGTAATGAACTGTAAACTGAAATTATGGTGCCTTATCTTTAGAGCAATGTTTTTGGGTGAATAAACTAATATTTGGTAATATATATTATATATAATAATTAATACTGACTTATAGTTGTGTGTGCAGATTAAGTAGGATTGGCAAAAGATTTAGAAAAAAGTTACACACTTACGGATGTCTCTGTGACCGTAAGTCTTTTTCAGGTTGTGAATTTGTAATGCAAACACGTTTCACTTGGGGAAATTTCTGAATCCTTTTTTTTTGTGTTTTATTTCGATAATGCTTATTACAGCTAAGTAAGTATGTGAGCATCTCGGTTATTTTTTATGGATTTTCTTTGTTTCCTGTTTTTAATACAGCGCTTTATAAGGCTTTTACCAGATTGACAATATGCTCACTCACAATTGTTTTGTGCCATTATTTATAAAATTGTATTTCTATTTTAGCCGCTGTGTTTTTTTTTTCTGTGGATCCAGCTTCCTGTGTGTTGAATCAATGTCTGGGCTGGCAGAGCAATCAATCCCCATTTCTGGATTAAGACCCAGACAGCCAAAGCATGGGCTTTCCTGTGTCAGCAGGGCACTGCAGTTCACACACACACACACAGAGTGTCCAGCATCTTCTCAGTCTAAAAAGGGTCAATGTGCTTAAAAGGTATTTTTTAAGAAAATAAGGTTCCTCCAATTTATTGGATAAGTTTGATCTGTGAACCAAATGGGCATGTATCATGCTGACACCTCGTTGTCGATGATCCAAGAAAATTGGATCTGTATTTAGGAGCTTATCGGCAAAGTGATCATCATCCAAGTTCCTGAAGATGTCTGCAGGTCAGCGTGGCTCTGATCCTTTGATGGGGCTTTATATGGATGTTAAATTGCATCTCTGTGTGTTTCAGGTCAGAACTTCAGCAGTTTTGAAACGCCGGACACAGAGACGAGAGAACTGCTCAGCACTGGTAAAGAGGGCCAGTGGGTGTCTATAGGAGGACTGCTGCCATATTCTAATTACACTGTACTGGTGAAGGCCTGTAACAGTAAGGGCTGTGTGGAGAGCTCTCCCACCAGCGTCTCTCTCCCACCAGGAGGTCAGTACCAAACACAGCTTTCTGTAACAGAACACCATTTACATTTGTTGTACACAGACTAGGTAAATTGACATGTGCCGCACATGAAGATTGTTATCTTGCTATATAGATTTGATGTTAGCTTACCCGCAGAGAATTATTGCAATAACCATTTGTTACAAACACAAATATTTATTTGTTTTTTATTTATTTATTTATTTTTTACCAGAGACTTTTATCCAAAGTCACTTTTACATTTTGCCATTTAATTCAATATACACATTTCATCAGTTCATGCATTCCCTGGTAATTTTCTAATTAATTCATTATTATGAAAAATTATTCTAAAAAAAAAAAAGTTTTTTTTATTAATTATTTCATTTATTTGGGGTAGAAGGGGTGCTTGCTTTATTGAATATAGATTGTAAAGATGGACATGGCTAGAAATCCTTAGGAAGAGAAAGCAGAAATTAAATCAAGCCATGTTGCAAGCCAGACTTGAACCTGTGTCATTTGAATAAGCACGGCTTAATATATCTACAGTATGTGACAAATAGTGCACCATGTCTTTAGAAATTTGGACTTTTTTTTAGGTGAAACAAATACAATTATTAGATAATGAAATATGAAATAGGAATAGGTTGGAAGTTATGAAATCTAAATGATCCTCAGAAATCTCATAAGGTCAACTGGCTGAAACATCAACATCTGCCAGAAAGCTGACAAGAATATGATTAGCGCAGTTAGTTGTAAATCAATATGCAGTAGCTCACTGAGATTTTGTACACAAAACAAAATGATCATGAATGGCAATCACCTGATATTGATTTTTTTTCCTTCCAAAACTAATCTTCATAAGTAAAATGTGTATTTTTTACACATATACAATTTCGAAGCGCTCTATTTCCATAATATTGCCATGTTCTTCATTAACAGACAGCCTGTAAACTTCAGCCCTGGCTCATCATATCTGACGCAGAGCTACAGGCTCTCTGCACTAATGTTTAATCACATGCCTCCACATGGGTGGAGAGCGAGCTGTTTGATCAGGCTGAATCTTCTGGGCCCCGTAACACTGCCCTGTACGGGGCCAGCGGGGAGACATTGGACATCTGCTGGCCGACAGAGAACAATGCTCGCTGCTGGTGATCTAAAGACATGCCATTTCCTGTCTATGGCAATGGTAGATAAGAGTGTATGCACACAAGAGTAGCCACTATAAGTTTATTGCCACACTAAGAAGCCACACTTTCCCACTGTTAAATTGTTGTTGATTTTAATTATGACTCTTATGGCTCCAGAATGTTCTTTTTTATGACCTTCTCAGGCAAATGAAAGGTAACAACTCATTGGTTAAATAGGCCTTGGTCCATCCTTCCTTTTACTTAATGGCGTGGGAACTTATTAAGCTGATTTATACAGAGAATGGCTGTTGGGAAGCATGTGACGCACTGGGTTATATGTGTTTAAGGGAAGGGTAAATTACCATGGAGGAGATAAAAAAAAGACAATTTACTGATTTCTGCCTTCCCAACCCCCATTGTGTTCAGTGGGAAGGAATGGTTGGAAAAGAGGGGTCAGTGGACCAGTGTTTCTTCAGATGAGGGTGGATATTCAGCGCAAACTGTACATCTTTATAATTCATTTTTGATATGTCCCTTTCTTGTTTCTCTCCTTCTTACTCTCTTACTGCATGTCATAACCAGACGCAACATAACAACAATATATAAATGTCAATTTTATTTAGTCTTTGAAAATTTTCTTGAATAACGCTTATTAAAAATACTATAATTTAGTACGCAGTATTTTCTTACGAAGTATTTTCTTAATATTATTACAATTCAATTTTGAAGAATTAATGTGTGTACTGATAATGTGTTCTGTAAACATTTCTGAACATAAGCCAATGAGAGACAACAATTTACATTAAATATATTTTATTCAATGTCATAAAAATGAATAAAAATACACTTCAAAAGGTAAGGATAAAAAAACCTTGGATAAAAAAAAGGAAAAGGATAAAGTCTAACTTTAATTTTAAATGTTTTTAAGCAAACACAATGGCTAAATGTCTGAACTGTTTATTTATTTATTTATTATTTCAAAGCTTTCTTATTGCTATTTTAGATTTTTCTATCCCAGCTCTTGATACCACTCTCATACTTGTTTTAGCGGAGGAATCGTTAGACAATCACTTTTATCTCATTTGACTCATATGTAAAAGTGATATGACCAGACCCATTTTTTTTTTTGTGGGGGGCCAGATGACTGTAAATTCCCCAGGACCTATGCATCCACACACACACACATCTTTTTTTGATCAAAGAGACCGGATAGACATGTCTTTTGACCTGATAACCACCTTTGATTTGTTTAAACGTTCTGTGACAATTATCATTCTGTCTGTACCTGAAAGGAAGATCATTTTCCTGTAGGGAAAAGAAAATGAAGTTGCTGGGACACGTTTCATGAACAAACATCAGCAGTTGAAACCCCAGAGCTCCACCGTTGTCTCATCTCTCACGGAGGTGAACGGAACGCTCATTCCCAGAGGAGTGTGTATGGATTGAGGATTGATTCGGGGGGAATGGGACATGGCCTTGCATGTTCTTAGATGATGAAGCTGACCTGTAAACACCACTCCATGTTAATGCCCAGCCTTTAAATACAGACCAATCGCTCTCCTATGGCCCTGTTAAAAAACGGCAGCACACCCAAGTTAAAGTTCTGGGAAATTGTTCAAGTTCAACACAAAGACACAAGAAGTATAAATTTTAAATACCACACGTTTCCCTCTACTTCTTTCAGTAGATCTTTTGGTTTGTCTTAGCTGAACTGAAGACTTGTCTCAAACTGTCCTTGTTATATCAAAGAACAGACGGAGTAGAAGGCTTAGGATACAGACGAAACATAAAAGTGCATAGTTTAAAATGATTAGTGACACTTTTGATGTACCTGAGGAAGGAGGGAGGTGAAACAAAGGAAGCTTCATACTGACTGTTTGATGAAATAAGGCTGTGAGGAATTAACTCTTTTGTCAATGGGGTGTCTTACTCTCGTTAGCCTCTCCTTTTCACTGTCTCTCTCTATTTTTCTCTCTCTCTACAAACTTTAGGGAAGAAATCAAATGCTTTGAACATATTGTTCATTCCGCAGTGTGCAGAACATGCAGGTTAACACCTGTGTTTTTGGTACAGTATTTTTTTTTTTTTTTTTTTTACACTTAGAATTAGAATAGAGAGTGCTAGATTTAGAGGGTCAAATGAAGATGGAAGAGATGTGTTTTTAGCCGTTTCTTGAATATGGCTAAGGACTCAGCTGCTCGGATTGAGTTGAGCAGGTCATTGCACCAGGAGAGAACAGTTAATGTAAAAGTCTGTGAAAGTGATTTTGTGCTTCTTTGGGATGGCACTATAATGTGCCGTTCACTTGCAGAACACAAGCTTCTAGAGGGCACATAACTCTGAAGTAGTGAATTTAGGTAAATGGGTGCAGAGCCAGTGGTGGTTTTGTAGGCAAACATTAATGCCTTGAATTTAATGCGAGCAGCTACTTTTTTTTTTTTTTTTTTTTACAGGATTTTTTTCTATGCTCACCCAAAAATAAGTAATAGTACGTAACCATGGCAGCTGGAAAAACATTTCAGAATTTGTTCTGCAACTCTTGTGCTTTTTGTTCATTTATACACTTATTTACAGTACCAGTGTTCATTTTTTTAAACAGTTGCTGGCCTGTTAAATTAGTCATTGTTAATTAAATGTCATATATTTATGATACTCATTTTATAATAAGTAGGTTAATGTGGATAACTTTATAATATATATTTGCCATTCAAAAGTTTGTAGACTTTAAGATTATAATTTTTTTAAATAAGTCTGGGTAACACTTCAGAATAGGGAACACATATTCCCTATTAATTGAGAGTTTTCCCTTAATAAACTCGTAATTTGCTGCTTATTGATAGTAACATTTACATTTAGTCATCTAGCAGACGCTTTTATCCAAAGCGACTTACAAATGAGGACAAAAGAACCAATCAAAACCAAAAAAAGGGCAATAATACGTAAGTGCTGTGACAAGTCTCGGTTTGCCGCAGTACACGTAGCAAGAGTGCTAGATTTAGAGGGTCAAATGAAGATGGAAGAGATGTGTTTTTAGCCGTTTCTTGAATATGGCTAAGGACTCAGCTGCTCGGATTGAGTTGAGCAGGTCATTGCACCAGGAGAGAACAGTTAATGTAAAAGTCTGTGAAAGTGATTTTGTGCTTCTTTGGGATGGCACTATAATGTGCCGTTCACTTGCAGAACACAAGCTTCTAGAGGGCACATAACTCTGAAGTAGTGAATTTAGGTAAATGGGTGCAGAGCCAGTGGTGGTTTTGTAGGCAAACATTAATGCCTTGAATTTAATGGTGCCGTTCACTTGCAGAACGCAAGCTTCTAGAGGGCACATAATTCTGTCATAATAATAATAATAATTCTGTATAATACATAGTAAGGTAGTTGTTAAGTTTAGGTATGGAGTAGGATTAAGGGATCTAAAATATGGTCATGCAGAATAAGGCATTAATATGTGCTTTGTAAGTACTAAAAAAATAGCCAGTATGCTAGTAACATGCATACTAATTGGTCCTTACTAATAAACAGCCAATATGCTAGTAATATGCAGGCTAATAAGCAGCTTGTTAACAGTGAGAATTGGACCTTAAAATAGTGTTACCGAAGTCTGCAACTAAAATATTATATTATATTAAAAATAAAATATTATTTCAATATAATATGACTGTTTTAATATATTTTAAAGGGAGCCTATTGTACAAAATTCACTTTTACATGGTGTTTGAACACTGATGTGTGTCCACAGTGTGTGTAAACAAACAGCATATAATGGTAAAAATCCACCCACTCCTTTTTTTTAATAATCCCCATAAATCAGAAGCAGTATCTGAAAATACGCTGTTTCTGATTTCCCCTGATTCCTGATAAGCCCTGCCAATGACTGGTGACGATCTGCCCTATTCGTATTGACCCCGCCCTGATTGAACACATAGTCCGCCATGTTTATATCATCGCTATAGTGCCTATTTATGCTAAATATTGTCTGTGCCACATAAACATTACAAATGTTGTTTTTGGATGTACAACTGTGAGTCTCCAAAGGCATCTGAGCCACGGAGAACAATCACTGTCTGCATATTTCATAAATAATTTTTGACATTTTGGCTGTGTGAGGTTCTCCGGTTTTGTTGTTGATGGACTATCTGTAAACTATAGTAAAGACTTCTGGAAAGAGGGTGGAAGCAGCAGCTCATTTGCATTTAAAGGGGTCATATGATGCGATTTCAATTTTTCCTTTCTCTTTGGAGTGTTACAAGCTCTTGGTGCATAAAGAAGATCTGTAAAGTTGCAAAGACTAAAGTCTCAAATCCAAAGAGATCAGAGCACACCTCGCTTTTCAAACCGATGAGTTTTTGCTCACACCCAAGGAGGGCAAAATTTTATATGGTGTAATAAAAGATCTGTGGGGTATTTTGTGCTGAAACTTCACATACACATTCTGGGGACACCAGAGACTTATATTACATATTGTAAAAAGGGGCATAATATGTCTCCTTTAAATGCTGTGGGGTATTTTGTGCTGAAACTTCACATACACATTCTGGGGACACCAGAGACTTATATTACATATTGTAAAAAGGGGCATAATAGGTCCCCTTTAAAATGCAGTTTATTCCTGTGATGCAAAGCTGGATTTTCAGCAGCCATTACTCCAGTCTTAAGTATTATAAAGTGTAAAGTAATATTTTTGAAGTATAATAAGTAATCAACTTAATGATTTATATTTTAACATTAGAACCTGATCTTTTTTTTTTTTAGTAAAGTAGTTCTGTGCCATGCCAGCAAGAAACTTTCTAACCCTGACAGTGCAGAAATGGCCTTTGTGTTATAACATATCCTGTAGGCCTATGATATGGTACTGTATCTACAGAAAGCTTTTTATACAGAAGTATGCTTTACATGAGATAGAACTTAACAAATATGAATTTTTGTCACCGTTTACAATATGCCCACCTCTTCAGTCAGTGTTACACCATCGGTGCTGTGTGTTGGTGTTCAGGTCCAAAATGTATGAAGTAGTATTGGCATCTCTGAGCTGCGGCAATCTGTAGGGACATGTTCCAGACCTGTCCATATGCTCATCATCATCATTATGTTTATGACTGGTTGGCTGGGCTTTGCGCTGTTTATTCCTGCCCAAAAGCTATAGCAACAAAGGCAGATGGAGGAAAAGAGTGAAATGGCTTTTATCCCCGAGTCCGTCCAGCAAAGCCCTATCCACTCTTCTCAAAGCAGCAGCGTCCCTCTGCCGAGCTTTTTCTTGCCTAATACAAGCCACATGGATATTATGAAAATTGCAGCTTGGCAGTAAAACTAATTTTGGAGCGCTGACTTGAGTGATGAGACTGACCCCTGCTGAGCACGAGCCACATCCCTGTTCCTGCATGCCAGCCTATGTAGCGTTGGGTTCAGACGTCCGCATCGTCTCTTCCTTCACCGTTCAATCAGACTGTCACCCTGTCCTCCTAAATGACGCATGGGTACGTCAAGCTTTGAAAGTCCCACAACAGCTTGGCATATCCATAATCTTTATTGACATAATTGGCAGTTCCATCACTCATCAATCAAAGTATTAACATCTTTTTTTCTTGCCGTAATGTCAGTGAGTTGATCTCATTTAGTCTGTTCTCTGTACACCAGAGACCACGGAACCAGGAATTCAGTCTCGCTCTCATAACCTTTTGTTTTGTTTGTTTGTTTTTTATTAGTGCTTCGACCATCACAGGCGTATTCAATTCTAATTTGTATTCTATCGAGGTGATTCTATTTCAGCGCGGCCAAAATTACTTAAGTAATCAACAGTTATTGAGTTCTTGTGGCTGGACAAGAGGAGGGTTGATTGAGAATGAGACTTCACTTAGGGAAAGGACTTCACTTGGAGCATTGGAGTGCTGTATTATTGAAGCTGATGCTGACTAGATTGCTCCTCAGAATAGATGATTTTTGCCTGGAGTCGTCACTAAGCACTGAGACAAGACGCAGAATCAAGATGCTTTCTTTCTTGATGGGTGAGATGTTTTCATGTGCTTCCAGGCAATTTTGTAATATAGTCTCAATGTATTGTTGATAGAAATTAGCAAATCATGAGATCCACATTGCACTTACTTATTACTTATTATTATTTATTATTACTTTTATGATTTTTGTATTGTACTATATTTTATTTTAAAACATTTAAAACTAAATATTATATTGTATTATATTATATTATATTTGACCGTCAATTTTGTTTTTTTATTAAGCCCTGACCAGTGAGATTGTGTTGAGAGCAGATGACTGTCACAGTAAATAGAAGCTGCAGCATTGTCTGCGGGGTTGATGGTGCGTTGGGCTAGAAGCGAGGCGAGGAGGCTTAGAAGGGGCCAGGAAGTCCTTCTAAATCAGAGGCGCGGAGAGCTGACCGCACCATTAGACAAGTGCCATTCACATTCTCCACCCGTCTCGTGACTCTCTCTTTAAAAACAGAGGAATTTTCTATCCTCTCTCTCTCTTTCTCTCTAATCTGTGATATGCACATATTAAAGATGGCTACATGATTCCTCACCAGCAGAATGTTAAATCTTTAAAACAAAAGAGGAATATTTGAAAAAAGAATTCCTTTGAAAGCCTTCTGGAGAACCTGTCAGGACATACAGTAGGTTGTGCCATTGTGAGTGCTTATTGTCCAGCATGTGATGTACTATATACAGTAAGCTGGGCTTTTTCAAAGTCTCTCACCCCTAAAACGCTCCCATCCCCAACAGTGTTTCTACCCATGTTCCTTAGCATATGCTGCACAGTGCAGGTCTTTTCTCTGCTCCACTTCAACTCTGCATCCTCTCCACATACAGCTCCAGATGGCCTCATGCCCCCCAGACTGGCAGCTGACACCCCTACCTCGCTGCAGGTGGCCTGGGCTGCTCCAGCCCGTCACAACGCTCCAGGACATCTGCGCTACCGGCTCCAGATGAGGACTTCAGCTTCCCCACAAGTTCACCAGTAAGCTCAGAGCAACAAAGCCATGAAGACCTTTTACAGTGTACACATGCACTTTTCCACACTACAAACACATGTAGGTCACCACTACTACTGCAAACATGCAATCATCAGTGAACAATATTTATTTTGTACTGAAAATAGAAAAGGCAGTGAATCTGGAGAACAGGATACATCTGAGTATTTGATCTAAAGAGAATAAAGTAGTGGTTAGACTGTTGTAGAGCAGATGTACAGGAATATCAAATAGTAGGCCTAGACCAGGGCTGTCCTTATGAAAAAAAATCTGCTTCTGTAAGAAGAAAAGGGGGAAAAAAAAAAGAAACAAATGTTTTATCTAATATGTATGCATTACATGCTCCCTGACAACAAATTGCAATTTAATCAGAAATAGGGGAATTCTCATTCTGTTGTAATAAATAAATGACTAGGCGCATGTATTATATATCACCCTCATTTCCTGGGATTCTTTTGAAATGTATTTCATTGTTCATGTGATTTATTTATTATACTCCATGGTAAATTTGATCGTGGGGCTCTGTGGAAGTTGATGCTGTTTAAAAACCAGCAAAGATTTGTTCCAATCAGCAGGACTTGTAAGCCATTTAATGCAGCGTGATTATATCTATTTTTCATTTCGATTCAATACAAATATCCACTTGCATTTTCACCAGAATAATATCATATTCTAACCATAGAAGTTGATGAGAGCATTCAATCCTAAACTCACTTTTGATTTGATTTGCAAAGCACTTAACGGAAAAGATATGTTAATCATTTTAAAGCCCCTATTAGGTCAGAATCTATAAGCTTGTGTACTAGTAAGAGTTGACTAAATTAGCTTTAGCTAATATAAACATTTAAAATGCAGTCTTTATCAACAAAAACAGGCTAAAATGTTTTTTGGACACACTTTAGTTTAGGGACCAATTCTCACTATTAACTAACTATTAACTTCAACTTTTGCATCAATAAACGCCTAATCACCGCTTATTAATAGTTTGTAAGGTAAGTTGTTAAGTTTAGGTATTGGGTAGGATTAAGGGATGTGGAATATGGTCATGCAGAATATGTTATTTTTAAGTACTAATAAACAGCCAATATGCTAGTAATGTACATGCTACTAAGCAACTAGTTAATAGTGAAAATTGGTACATAAACTAAAGTGTTAACTTTTTATTTTTATTTATTTTTTTAGAGGGCCCTTTAAATTAAAATGTTACAACATTTCTATTTGAAATCAATACTGTTCTTTTGAATTATTGTGTTCCTATTCATCAAAGAATCCTGTAACAATGTATCACGCTTCCGAAAAAAATGTTAAAGCAGCACAACTGTTTTCAACACTGATAATAATAAGAAATGTTTCTTGAGCACAAATCAGCATATTGGAATGATTTAGAATTGATTTAGTTATTTTAAATTGTAATAATATTTCACACTATTATGTTTTTACTGTATTTTTGATCAAATTAATGCAGCCTTGGCATAAGATGCTTCTTTAAAAAAGAAAACATTTTGGGCCGTAGTGTTAATTGCACAATTGCAACTTTATTTCTCATTATTAGGACTTGGTTTGGTCATAATTAGGACTTTGGTTTTTTGCTTCATAATAAAGTGTATTGGCTGTTATTAAAAATGTAAACACATCTACTGTACTATGTAATGTGTACTGTAATGTGTTCTGTGTAATTCACATGTACATTTATTTCTATCTTTAGGTTAATGGACTATGAGACGACTGTATTTAGTCACATGGTTAAGGACCTTGAACCCTTTACCGAGTATCACTTCAGACTGCTGGTGTCCAACAACCATGGAGAAACCAGCAGCCCATGGGTCTCTTTTTTTACTGCACAAGACAGTGAGTTCCAAAGCTGACACGCACAATGCCCACAAACACAACAGAAAATCATTAAGCACACAAAGAGTGTGTTGTGTTTAACCACATGTCAGGCGGTTCCTCTGTGAGGCTTGTCCCACAGAGAAGAGCAGGTGTTGAGGGAGAGAGAGAGCCAGTGGACAGAGATTGCTAGTTAAAGGTATGCCTCTTCCAAATGACCTTGCCGGTGTCATTTTGGACTGATTACTGTAATAGAATCATATTAAGGATCATAACAGACACTCTCTGCTAAGTTATAAATTAATTATACTTCAGCCTATTAGCACATACATTATAATTACTGAGCCAGTATTTGCATACACTCAGATTGCACTGTATTATAGACCATCACCTCTTCATTATCATGCTTAGAGACATCCCCCTCCCCACAATGCCCTGCAGCACTTCACAACTTCTGCTTTTGGGAAGAGTTTTTCCTCTGTCTGAGAGCAGAACTACGTGAGCTGAGAAACATTCACAGCCTCATTGAGACTTTTTGTTCAGTTTCTTGTCTTGCTGCTTTGGTCTACTTGTTTTGCACCATGTGTCGGTATATTTTATCTTGCAACTTGTAATTAGTATTCTTTATGGATGTTTAGCATATCCGTTCATAGGTTGTATTCTTCACTAAGAGGATGTCATAAATTGTCATGCCTTTAAGAATCTCTGCATTAGTTGCATTGTTGAACCATGAATAATATGTAGTTTAAATAGGATTGAATGAAAACAGCTTTTGCTTAGTTATGTTCGTTTTAGCAACTCTGATGTTTTTAATTATATATTGTTATGCTTAGATTAAACACATGGTTTTGAAATAAAAAGGTTTTTGATAAAGATATTATGTGATATAGGACAATATCACTTTATAAAGTGCTCGCTTAACTCATTAAACCTTGTTAAAAAATTTCATTGTGATAGTAATATCAGTGAGAAAATGACTTTTTTACTATTTCTTGCTATTTGTTTTCAATTACAACTGAAAATTTGATATTTTATTAAACAATAATAAATAAATATTTTCATATTGAATATTTTAATAATAAAAATCTGTAAATTTGGGGCATTTAAGTGTTTGAAATTCAGCACAAGTCTGTCGCCAATGCTCTAAAGTATGCAAATATTTATTAATACTTTTATTTAAATATTTCTTCAAATATTTATTTATTAGTATTTATTAATATTTGAATCACATTTCAATACATATTTTTATTAAATATATTTTCAATGTGCAAAAAAAAAAAAATATCTATGTGTGAATACTTTTTGGGGCCCACTGTTTGTTGATACTGGAGAAACTGGAATGTTTGAACATATCAGTTTAATTCATAAGTAGAGATGCACCGATTGACCGGCCAGTGATCGGAATTGGCTGATTTTTCGCATGACTGGCCCGGATCGGTGACCGGCCGGTCAGTCTCACGTCTTGGCCGATTCCAAGACGTCACAGCCATGCGCACTCTCACAGTCGTGTGTAAACATGTCGTTTCGCGTGAGAATGATTCTAATTTTAATTGCATTCAGCAGTGGCGTGCACATCATAAATATGATTTAGGTAAGCAACATTATACGGCCATGATGTTTCCCCGAATATCAGTATCAACACGATTGCAATGTGACACTGATTTTATACAATAGTATTTCAATAAACAAGAAGTTAAAATTAAGTGACTTAGATTTTAGACAAAATATTGTCTGTTTTTGCTCAATTTCACTGACGAAAATAGTTTCGATCAAAGCCACAGCAGAACTGTTTTGTGTCTCCGAGCAACACACAGCAGTGTTTCGTTACTGAATGAACCCACGTTTTTGAACGAATCAAGTGCGTCAATGATTCAGTGGCCCATTCATAAGGACAGTCACTTGCCTCGTTTCTGAATGAATCAGCCGTTTGAATGAATTGGTTGAATGAATGAATAAATAACTCGCTCATTAAAACAGACATTTGCCACCACCTACTGATGGTTTAGTCATATTTAAAAGTATCATTGCATTTTTTCAACATTTATTTGTGTTGAAAAAAATATGTGAAAATTGAATCTTATAAAATAATTTATGCATTTGAAATTCTGTTTTTGCTCAATTTCACTGACGAAAATAGTTTCGATCAAAGCCACAGCAGAACTGTTTTGTGTCTCCGAGCAACACACAGCAGTGTTTCGTTACTGAATGAACCCACGTTTTTGAACGAATCAAGTGCGTCAATGATTCAGTGGCCCATTCATAAGGACAGTCACTTGCCTCGTTTCTGAATGAATCAGCCGTTTGAATGAATTGGTTGAATGAATGAATAAATAACTCGCTCATTAAAACAGACATTTGCCACCATCTACTGATGGTTTAGTCATATTTAAAAGTATCATTGCATTTTTTCAACATTTATTTGTGTTGAAAAAAATATGTGAAAATTGAATCTTATAAAATAATTTATGCATTTGAAATTTTGCAGTGTAAATGCATTTATGGCACATCAGCTTTATCAAACTGTCTGTGTAAATGCATATAATGCCACTTCAGATGCAGCTTCTGTTTCCTCAGCAGTGGAAAGATAGAGTTTGTTAACACTAATATCATTTGAATGATAACAACTCTACAGTTTCTTATTATTCTAACTGAATTAATTGAAACAAAGTAAGAATTTGATGTGAAAGATGACAAATTTAATAAGGTTAGGGGGAAAAAATGTCCATTTATAAACATAGTGGGAAATGACAACTGTTTTGTTACATACAGGAACTCATTTTAAGTTAACTATTTCTTCCTCTTTCCAGTCACAGAGCACTTTATTTTGAGAGTTGTTTAAGTGAGAGAAAATCTGTAACTTAGTCCAGATTGGGGTAATTGTAATGTTTAATATTTTCTTTTATGTAAATAATTTTTGCATTGAAATTTGCATAGATTTTTGTTTGTATATGCTGTCAATTATAGTTATTTAGAAAGAATATCGGAATCGGCAAAAATCGGTATCGGCAGGTCACACAGAAAAAATCGGAAATCGGAATCAGCCAAGAAAATTGCAATCGGTGCATCTCTATTCATAAGTGCTTTTTGTGACTGGATGTGTATTTAGTAATGTATTTTGTTGAGCATTGCAAAAAGGAAACTGGTACTTTCATGTATGTACTTTACGATATGCCAAAACTGCAATGACCCAGCATGCACCATATTAGCAGCTCTTCTAAAAGTCACTTTAATCCCAAATAAGCATGTATCTGGCAGCAGAAATGAGCCCTTCACTCCAGCTCTATTTACACATCTCTTTCTTTGCGGCAGGGGTGATGACTTTGAGAACAGGTGAGCATTACCAAGAAGGAGAGAAATGATTGTTATTGTTAAAGAGAAAAGCCCTTTATTTCTTTTCCGAAATAGGCTGTGAAGAGCCTCGGTGCGGCATATTCGGCTCTCTGCGGCAGGATTATGGGGAAAGTGTGAGTTTTAGTGGCTCCTGACACTGCTAATAAACACTCTCACACATATCATGAGCCACCCCATCAACGTGAAATAGTACCCGGCAAAGCCACACTAAATTAACAGTAGGAAAGAATTGAGGAGATTCTTCAAAATAATGTGGCCAGCCGCATGATAAAGGAAGAGGAAAGGATGGGCAAGGTGAAATAGGAGGAGAGAAACGTGTCATATTTTTTTTTAGCTCTTTTTCTTCTTTGATAGGGCCCCAGTCTGTCCGCACATCTTCATCTCTAATTTAGAAATCCCCTCTAGAGAGAGTTCTCCACCTCTGTGTGAAATGTTCACAGCAGCACACACTATAGACTGTGTGCATGAGCACACATTCTCATAGCTATGTAAGCAATCACAAATAGTGTCTCATAAATACATGTGCATATACATGGTTATTGTTCTATTTCTTTAAATTCAGACATGATGAGACATATTTTGTGACAGCAATTTCAAACTAGAGGTATTTGGAAAGTTTGAAATTTCAGTTTTGGGGAGTGCATGAGACTGATGGAGCTATGGCGGAAACACTTGTCTGATTTGTCTGTTTGGCTCCTTTTGTGCTGCAGTATGTCAGAACACTACTAGAAATCTCCTTAGTGAAGATGTATGAGCATTTTAAGTATTCAAAAGGCCCTCATTCCTCTCCTTTATATCATTCCATTAATAATTTATAACCATCTTTTTAATGTAATTCCATCCATGAATTTTTACCCGTAAGACTTGACAGGCGGTTCTGTGAACATAAACTTTGCCAAGTAGAAGAGCTCTTTCCTCTGTCTTCTCTGCCTGTGCTAAAGCACACGAGTCTGTGTGTGGAGTGACACATAAATAAAATAATTTAGAGGGGCATTTTTTGCCCCCCCC